GATGTGGGGAATGGAAAAGCGCTACAGTTGGCAAACTTTAATGCACAAACTTACCAATTACCATTACGTGCCATTTTTCCCCCGACTCAAACGTACCTCCTGATTTTCTAACCCAGACCCGATTTCAAACCTGTAAACATGTCCTCCATGGAGATTCAGACCCTCCCTCCTTCCTCTGTGAAAACAATGGTTCCCTGGAGATTGGGAAAGACCAAGGGCCTGCGTCCACCGAGCAAGGCAATGGCAGCTGGATTCAGGACTGAACCTTGCGACTTGAGCCGGGGAGCCACAGGAGTCATTATAGATCACGTGGAAAAGGGGAGAACATCATAAGATGGGGCGAGCCCAGCTCAAGTAGGGGTCCGGTGAGTCTTTGACTCCTGGCTGATTCACAAAATGTGCATCAGGCTCTCCAGCAACGTTTGTGCTTTCTACTCCTGTATTTAGCACAGGCTATAGGAGGGGGCCTTGGTTTAGCTACCACTGCACTGATCGAGATTTAGAATTCCATAACTCCCTGCAAAAATACGGCGTTTTTACCGAACACGGCGAATTCCAATGCAGTACTATACTATAACTAATTTGAAACACACATTTACATTTATGGAAGTAGAGCAAAAGTGCTTAAAAGGCATATGGACACATAGAGGGATATTGCAATGTAAAACCACAAAAAGGCTTCAAACAGATAGGAAGCCATTCTGCTCTTTTACACGATGTGCCTTCTTCCCAGGTGGCCCCATGATGGAGAAGAGTTAACATCCTGCAGAGCTGACAGCATTTCAATCACGTATAATATATCAGGGCCCATTCGTTGCGCTCGTCAAAGGCTTTAAAGTGGAGGATGTCATTTGCAACACTAGATAAGATCAGTGAGCTGTTCCCTGCATGGTGTCCCACCGGAGGTAAAGGAAAATGGGACAAAGGAAGCGCTAGAGTCTCATCTCAAGCATCAACTCAGAGCACAGTAGTAAGCGGGTGGAGCCAGAGGCAGATGGAGAATGTGGTTATAATCTATCCTCCATCACACTGCGCTGGTTTACTGTAGCACTCCCTGCATGAGACACCAGCTCCGAACTGCACCTCCAGGATTCTCTGCACGGTTCGCTCCACAGGAGGAAGGCCTTCAGGTCATTTAACATGTAAACGAGCAAGCGTGTCAGTAATGTCTCCCAGGTGTTTTTTGGTTTTTGCAACACAAAAATGAGTTGGATACTCCTCCTAAACGGGGGGGAAGAAGCAGCACTCCTTCACTCAGACAACTGCATGAATTGTCTCTCTCTTATCAGGCTGGAGACTAATAATCCCTAACAAGATGGGATGTAAAAAACATGGACCACAGAGTATATATATGTTAAAGATCAATAATTAAAGGTATTTACACACAGTTTCACAGTTTCCTGCATTATTTTAATTGCTCATTGGTTCCCCCCTTTCACACTTTTAAAAGCAATTTGCCTACTATGGATGTTCACAGAGCAAACAGTCAGAGGGAAAGATTTAGGTACAGTAAGTGCTCTAAACCCTGGGACAATTCTAAATGCAAGCCAAGAAAGAATAAGAAATATTTCGACTAAGCAAACCACACTGAACCTACCTATGGGGGGATACGTTTCTACTTACAACATCCACACAATTTTCCTGATACTCATTTTAAACATAAATCACAACCAACCAAAGTAGGTGAAGTAAGACATGGACATACTGTACTGTATGCTCATTTAACAGTTTTGCACCATTTTGACTCTTAAGCCTCTTATTAATGAAGCTAAATATTTTGCCTTTGGAGCAAAACACAAGTTCTGTACCACCACCCCCACCCCCACCAATGGATTAACTGTACAGTAGGCAGTTTGCCCACAGCAGAAAATATGCCAGCTGTTGTAAATGGGGAGAAATTGGAAAAACTGGAGATGATAAGGTGGACCAGGTAGCTCCTTGTATCGTTTTCAGGCCAGGCCAAAGCGCAGTGAGGTTGGTGGTCTCATCTCAGGGAGGGAACAGTTATCAGACTTCTGGCCGCGCACCCTTGTTGGAGTCGAAGCCTCAGTAGATCCCTTT